AGTTAATAAACCCGGGTCGAATCCATACCGTTCCCGTCTCAGGCCAACCAAGTCTGACCAAGCGGTAAAATCAAATAAGGCAGATACTAGCCCAGGACGAGCTTTACCTGTTCCTATCCTGAATTCTCAATTTAACGAAGACATTACAGCTGGAAAGCCCACTAACATACCGGTCTGTAGGCTGTAAGTATGCAGTGCTGCTGATAATTTTCCCAATCACACAGCTAGCCTGACAGCCCATATAACAAAGCCTTCTCATAAGGTAAACTGTTTCTCGAACCCATTTAGTCCATTTTCTAACATAAATCACCCATCACCTTGTGCTCAAAATTCTCAAAGTCCTATTTGTATGCCTCCTGTTTTTCCAACCCCACGAAATAGCTTTCCTTTTCATGAGTCCTCAGCAACTGTGTCTCTATACAGTGCTGCATTTAGTTAGTGGTAATTCCCCCACAACTTTCGGACCACAGCAACTTTGTTTTCCATCCTTTACTTCTTCCTTACAGCTTACTTTTCCAGCACGAACTCTTCCTTTTTTATAAGTAATAATGAGCGGAGCCTGTATCTTAGGAATACCCTCAGTATGGCCTCTCTCAGCGCAAGATCAGTAGGGCAAAAGATGGTGCAGCTAAGTGGTGTGACCTTTGAGTCTGACACAGATGTTTTGTGCATTGCAGAATCTTGGGCGCACTCTCTAGTTTCAGACTCGACGCTCGCTATAGATCCCTCAGATTATACCGCCAGGATCGTGTTAAAACGTTGAGGTGGCTGCCTTGTTTACGTCAGAGCCTCACTTGCACATTCGCCTTATGACCTGAACGGTTCTTCATTCTCTGAAAATCTGTTTCTCTTAGGCAATCCTTCCGCAAAATAGGAAAGCCTTAATCGGATGTGCATATAATCCCTCATTTTACTCCGGAAATAAAATTCAAGTATGTGAATTATTTAAAAAAATCTCGGCCATCATTCGATGTCAAGATAATCGTAGGCTCGCACGAGATAGGCCTAGAGAGTGTTTAGTTATTAGTGGCGGGAATGCTTCTAGATCTGTTGCCCAGGTCTTCTTCCAAAGATCATCAGCTTAGTCCCACCAAGTCATTCCGCCCTTGCTTATTTCCAACGAGACCTTCATTACAGAGGAGTCAGAAAAGCAGAAAAGTTAAATTCATTCTTTACCAAACATTTCACCATTAAGACTGACTCAATCCCTTCAATTCCTCCTATGTTTGATGCCTCCCCCGCCACCATTAATTTTGCTCCTGCAACTATTTAAAAACTGATAAACCAGCTTACTAACTCGCACTCAGTAGGTACGGATAATATTCACATCTCTCTTATAAAACAGTTAAGAGATTTTCCGCCTCTGCCTAGCAAACTCTTTTCAGTTTTTCTCTCAAAATTGGTTTTTTTCCTGACTGTTGGAAAACTTATTTTATTAGTTCAGTATTTAAATCTGGCTTCCCAACATGGCCTTTTACCTAATCGCTCTTGTAAAGCATGTCATATGTCATTTCTCAGTCTACTTCTCTTCGTAATGACCATCTATCTGTTGCCGTCATTCATTTTGATCTTAGTATAATCTTTGATAAAGCGCCACATAGTTAGGTAAATTAAAAGCTCTGCGAATTCACAGTCCCTTTATAGACCTTATCAAGTCATATATGTCTAATCATAGACAGAAGGTTTTAGTGGGATCTTCATTCTCCAGTGAGAGCCTTATTTTAAGTGGTGTCCTACAAGGTACCGTTTTAGGTCCTCTTTTGTTCCTGACGTACATAAATGATATCTCGTCGGCAGTTAAACATTCTCAGTCCTTTATTTAGACTGATAATGTCAAATTTGCATATTCATTCAATAAATCTATGACCCTTCAATGCCGGGATCAAATCCATGCTGATTTACTTGATCTTTAGCGTGGAGCTCAAATTGGTTAACGGAATTCTCTCCATAAAAATGTCGCTTTTTATGCTTTGAACCGGATAGGCTACACAAACCAGTGGTCTTTTAAGGTGCACCCGTGACTGAATGTACCACCATCAAGAATTTAGGTTTTAGCTACGCCAATAATCGAGATCTCTCGCCACACGCCGACAGAAGTACGGCCAAAGCAGCCCAGATTTGGGGCTTTATTTCCTGCAATTTCTGTCTTCCTGAAATTAAATTAAAACTCTATCGAATGTCTGTACTTCCCATTCTCGAGCGTTGTTGTTCATTCTTTGGCTTAATGAGAGGCTAGTCGTTCAAAAATTGAAAATTTTCGAAGACATTTTAATAAAAGACTCTTGGGTTCGGAACACCCAATTATTTCCTATTTCGATAGATACCAGATAACTTACCTAAAATTTTTATGGGTTTTTGTCTCTTCCTTCGCATTAATATTAGTTCAAATCTTCCCCGGATTTCAGCACTTACCCCTGGTAGTCACTCATACAATCTTCGCAATTCTTCCTTGATTATACCTCCTCCCGCTTCCTCCACCTCTAAGCGCTCTCTTTTTTTCAATTCCAGGTATACTTTTCTTTGTATTAATCTTTCAATAAATATAACATTATCAGATTATCTGTATACTTTTAAGAGAGGGCTGCGCCCTTATCTGAATAATGATTTGATTAAACTTTTATTTTCCTCATGCTTCCTGGACAACTCTCTCAGTGACACTGAGAAAGAACAACCAGGAATTTAGGACGCCGCCATTAAATTTCCGTATCCGCCCACATTTCCTTCTTTTGTGTGTAGTTCCACTTCCTAGGATCCTTCATCAGAAATCTTACTTTTTCCGGCTTTTCAGCTCATGCATTGCGTCCTTCATAAAATGCGACATCCTTCCTGACAAATCCTCTCAAGGAAGTGGCGCCTCAGTTTTGCTGATCGCTCATCAGAATTCAACTCTGCCCCCACGATTTCGAACCCTCAAACCGCAGGTCTTGATGTCAAGTCCTCATTTCGACCCCGAATAGTCTGTTGACGATCACAACGTGAATCCTCCGCTTTCGCCATTTGCTTGTGGGTTGGTCGGTCAGCAGAGAGATCTCAGTGTCGCATTCTCCGCTCTACGCTCCGATTGCCGCCCTTGCGCTTAATGTCCCATCTCCGGCTTGACTCTAAGCGGACTGTGTCCGATTGTGTCTAAGTCCCCCTATCTTGCCTCTTCGAGGCGGATTACCTCATCTGATTTAGGAAGCTCTGCCTTGACGATTTAGGTTTTTCAATCCCTTATCCAATACCATATTCGGGCCAGTCATGTTCGACCCGCATATTTTTCCTTTCATGAACGGCACTTTTTTCTCCCTAAAACTAAACAATTCATATAAATTTTGTCTTTTTCATCAGTTTTTACTGCTAGCTGACCGTTTTTAAGTCTAACTGTTTATTCCACAACCGAAAACTGGATAATGTACAGAATCTGTCTACGTCTTCTAAAACTTACTAGAAAATTTATTTTTACATGCTATGATGGGACCCCCAAGGGTCTTAAATAAATTTTATTTATTTATTTATTGGAAAAGCGCGGTCGTACTTAGAGTGGTTGGGAAGTAAATGCTCTAACCCTAACCCCTTACCCTAACCCATGGCCTCTAACCTTAACTCCTAACCCTAGCCCCTAAACATAATCCCTAACCCGGACTCCTATCCCCAACCCCAACAGTATTGTGTCCTGAAGAAGAAGAAGACACGATCGCCGGAACAAGATCTTTATTAGCCTGACGTTTCGGATTCCTGCTTGAATCCATCATCAGAGACAAAAGCAGATAAGGGTAGTTCATGCATATGCGGCTGCAGTATTTATAGGATGCAGTAGCCATGCTACCGCATACCTATGAATGTTCACGGCTCCCCCCCCCCCCTTCATCATGGATCGTTGCACGTGGCGTGATGGCCGACATTCGCGTCGTTAATTGCTGCAATTTCATCACGTGCGTTGGATGTTGGTTTGATGATTGCTCGACCACCTGACGCGCTGACCCGGGTGTTGGGAAGAGTGTTCACCTGTGCGCACCCCGCGTGGCCAACTACTCCGCCTAGACGAAGTCTCAGCCCGGAGTATAGAATGGGAAGATCATTGCACTTGTGCATAGACTGGGGGCCAGTAAACCATGATTCCAGTAGCTCCCGGTTCACTCGGTTGTCACCTCTTGCGAGAATTTCGGCCTCATCGAATTTAAATGTGTGGCCGGATGTCGTCGAATGAGCCGCAACTTGAGAGTTGGCGTCATTTCTGCGCACCGCTGCCGCGTGTTCGGCCATTCTCGTTCGGAGCTGTCTTCCGGTTTTTCCGACGTAGTTGCTTTGTCCGCAACTGCACCAGATCCGATAAACGACTCCAGACGTTTCTAGCCGTGGCAGTGGGTCTTTCAGTTTCATGATCAGACGCCTGATGGTTGCCTCCGGTCTGTGTGCCGCTCCAACCCCAAGTGGTGCGAGAAGGCGGCCGACAGCTTCCGAAACGTTCTTGACATACGGAAGTGCCCGCCAAGACTTGGTGTCCGTGCGGTTAGGCCTTTCATCCCTTTTGCGTATGCGCCGGTTGACGAAGTTGCATGGGTAGCCATTGGCTTTGAAGACCCGTCGGAGGTATTGTAGTTCGGCATGTCTACTGCATCCTATAAATACTGCAGCCGCATATGCATGAACTACCCTTATCTGCTATTGCCTCTGATGATGGATTCGAGCAGGAATCCGAAACGTCAGGCTAATAAAGGTCTTGTCCCGGCGATCGTGTCTTCTTCTTCGAGACTGCTTCCTGGGACTCGTCTCTTCGCTTCTATTAGTATTGTGTCCATCAGGTGGAGCTGCACAGCCATGTCTGACCATGCTTTCTAGAGCGGCCGTCCAAAGACAGAGTTACGGGACGCAGGCTCCGCCTTTGCCCTCCGGAACGAAGTAGTGGGACGACTGCTCTATCTGCCCCGCAGCATCAAACACCGACTGATGAGCCTGTGCCTGCCTCTTCGGGTATCCAAATTCACCACCATCGTCAGCGTCCACGCCCACTCACCCCGATGGCCGACTCTGACCAGGCGAAGATCAAGTTCCACAAAAACGTGCACGCCCTCCTGGCGACTGTGTCGAAGGCGGATAAGTGCGTTGAACACTGCCTCCAACTGACCAACACCTTCTTCCGCCTGCCGTTGCGAAAGAGGGTGCACCCCGATCGTCGCACTGGCAGCTGCCGGACTATGTTCCCCTTCGGCGTCGAGATCGGGAGGATGTGATTATAACTAAGCTGATCTGTGACGCTGATGGCTGGACGGACCACCCCCTTGTCATTTCCAAGATGAGGCTCCATCTGCAACCCCGCAGGAGGCCATAAGATAATCTAACAGCAGGTAAGCTAAATATCGCTCTGTTGTCATTGCCTGCTCACGTTTGCATTTCAGCAATCAACTGACCCAGCGGTTGGAAAACCTGCCAGCTCCAGATGAAAGCGCCTCTGCGGGGACTCGATGGTGCCAATTGCAGAACTCTATTCAGTTGACCGTCTTGGATGTCCTCAGAGGGGCACGTCGTCAGCACCAGGACTGGTTGGACGACAATGCCGCAGCCATCAGCCAACTGCTCAACGGAAAGCACAGGCCGCACAGAGCCTACCCCGACTGTCCAACCGACGCGAACAAAACCGCTTCCCGCCAATTTCGTCGTCTTGCGCAGCAACTATTGCAAGAAATGTAAGACGATTGGATGGCTCGCAAAGCCGAGTAGATCCAGTGATACACCGACTGCAACGAATCAGAGAAATTTTTCGCTGCGATCAAGTCGATCTAGGGCCCCCAACCGAAGGGAGTGAGCCACTTCTCAGCTCCGATGGATCAGCGCCTCTGTCGGAGAAGTCGCAAATTCTGAAGCGCTGAGCCAAGCACTTTAGAAAAGTCCACAACCACCGCCATCGACCAGCCCCCCGAGTAGAAACCAACATCGACCTGGATCTGCCGCCATCTCTCACAGAAACAATCTGAGCGGTGCGCTAACTCTCCAGCAGGCAAGCACCGAGATCCGATGCGATTTCGGCCGAAATCTACAAGCATGACTGTCTGCGGTTGATGGATCGCCTCACAACGCTATTCCAGGAGATGTGGCTCCAAGAACAAGTTTTTAAGGACTTCAAGGGTTCGATAGCCGTCTACCTGTATAAGAGCAAAGGGAACTGGCAATTCAATAACAATCCCAGGAGCACCTCGCTGCTTCACATCGTCGGAAAGATCTTCTCCTGCATCCTTCTCGATCGTCTCAACAGACACCTAGAACCGCGGTTTCTGCCAGAAAGCCTGTGTGTATTCCGGCGACACCGCGGGACCGCCGATATGGCTTTTGACGTTCGCCAGCCACAGGAGAGATGCCAGGAGATGCGAACCCATCCCCACGCTACCTTCATGGACGTGACGAAAGCCTTTGATATGGTGAATCGCGTGGGACTGTGGAAAATCGTGCAGCAATTCGACTGTCCTGAACGATTTGCGCACATGGTACGTCAGATCCACGACGGGATGATGTCGCGCGCTAGAGCAACGGTGCATGCTCTGAGGCATTTGCAGAGACCAATGGAGTGAAGCAGGGCTGCGTACTCGCTCCTACCCTCTTCAGCCTCATGTTTTCTGCCATGCTTACCGTAATGAGCCAACCTGATCCGTATCTTCCACAGGACCGATGATCATCTTCTCAAAGGTTGGAGTCTACAGGCCTCAACGCGTCTCTCCGCGACTATAGCCCACGACTTACTCCTCGCTGACGACTGCGCACTCAAGACCGTGACAGACGATGACATGTAACGAAGCATGGAACTGTTCATCTCCAGCTGCGCCAATTTTGGGCTGACCATCAACACGGTAAAACGTAGTCATGCATCAGTCGCCACCGAACGCTGCATACAGCGCTCCTCGCGTCCCCGTCAGCAGCACCGAACCGAAAACCGTGGACAACTTCGCCTACTTACGCAGCACACTCACACAGCATCAAAATCGCTGCGAACTAATGCCTGAAGCACCGGCATACACCAGATACCATCCCCACAATTGCTTGCACTACCCTCACAAATTCAGCCACCATGTGGAAAGTATAAAGGCATTTTTAACGGTCTCATTCCCGAACACCCAGCTTCTTGACTTCGAGAATGGTCCTCCTGGGATTTAGTGGTAGATCAAGTGGAAACCTGCATTTATACCTTCACAGCCCCCTGTTTTGAATTGGTTACTTAATCCAATGCTACCACTCCTCCCCATAGCGACGATTTTCGTGGTTTTTGATGTCACCTCCCTTTTTTCGACCTCAAGCTGTCTGTCGACGCTCACGGCGGAACCCTCTGTATTCGCTGTCTACTAGTAGTTTGGTCGTACCTCCCCTCCGCACTCTTCGGCTGGGCTCGAAGCGGATTGCGGCCGATCGGGTCCGGGTTCCTCTCGTCTGGCCTCTTGGCACAAATAGTCTCATCCGGCGTATCAATTCTGCCTTGACGATGTCCGTTCTGAATTTCGTATACAATACCACACGCAGACCAGCCCTGTTTAACCCGAATACGTACCCCCAAGGCTGACATCTATTTCTGCCCTGAAGATGTCCGATTATAATCCGCCATATACCGCCACATGCAGGCCAGTTCTGCCCGCATTTTTATGTTAATATGAGGACGGTTTTTTTCTCCTGTAAAGTTAATCCAATCATTTTTAGATTCTTAAGTGGAGTTTTTTTCACTGCTCGCTCATCATTTTTCTTGATGGACTACAAATTCAGAAACCGCGAATTGCATTTTGTACAGATTCTACCTACCTCGTCTAAAATTTGTATGTAAATTTATTTTTACTTGCTTTGATGGGACCCCGACGGGTCTTTAATAAAAAGTATTTATTTACTTACTAGGTCAAACACGCCCCCATGAAACCCTGCTGTAGAACACGGCTGGCTATACCACACCACCAAATCTCTCTTCGCCTGTACCTACAACACACATTACCTCACTTAAAATCAGACAGCGCAAGCACGTAATTGGCACCTCTCAGGTAAGTGTATTCCTCGGCTCCTTCCCCCTTTGGCTCCTTCGCTGCATGTGTGGTCTGAACCTGAGACTATCACGGTGTGTTAAGCGTCGTGGCTTCGAAAGTTGCCGGCTGGCATTTCAATTCAGTCCACGCATTCAGCCCAGTTTTGTGCGTTTGTGTATATAGAGGCCTGAGAGCCGGGCTGCAATGGCTCCTTCTTAACGTGATCTCCAAGCTCTCCCACACGTCTTAGATGTATGTCGCACACTCTCTTCTGCGTGAGATCCTAGTGCTTGTGTTTGGTGGGGGGCCTGATCGTGTACGTGACACGCGCAGAGGAGGTCACTAGCTATGTCAGCCACTACTCCCATTCCCCGCACCAGACAAATGACCGACTCAGCCAGTGACTGGGGCCCGTGAATGGGAATAAAGAGTGAGGTCGACGTGCCGGCGCATATTCCTCACTATAAACAGTCTGACACGCTTGAAACTATCATGGCTTGGGAGGCTGCCAACTGACGGTGGAACTCAGACCTCACAGTCAGCCCAGTGTGGGTTTGTGCGGAGTGGCCGGCTGGAGGACTGGGAGACAAACTACAATTGTTCCCTAACGTGACCTCTACGGTACCCCAACTCCATCGGATCCGAGCCGTTACCCTCCTCTGCTCTTGTTGCGTAAAATACTGGTCAGTGTATTTTGTGGACCAGGGGTGAAGTGGTACGTTGGGATGCGAGTTCCCGTCGTGCCAAACACCTGCGCCCTCTCCGCCTTCGGTCTTCCCGACTCTGCCATGACACCGGGCTTAGGGGGAGGAAGATGGAGTGCGGTAGAAGCTGTGCAAGTCTAACATCATTATAAACTAATCCGCGCGCAAGTCACCGTCCCTGTTCTCAACCTGCTGTGGTGCACACGGTGGACCTCGTCGGCAATGACTGTCGAACTGTCATCACTTGGAACAACGGTAATTTTATTAGTGGATGGTAGATCTACGTTTGCTGTTTGTGTTAGGGATACATTCATATGGTTCTGGACCATCTGGGGAATTTCATTAATCCTGAGAGGGATGGAACCCTGGGAAACGTAAAATGTCATTAAAACGACCTCAAACGTTTCGGTCTGTATTCTAGCAACCCTAAGCGAAAATGTTCAAAGGAACAACCTGTGTGAGGCAATTTGCTGACAGTGGTCTCATGCATATTCTGAAAACGCTGACTATCCACAGCATTCCTTTAATTACTTTTCAAGCATTTTGTTACTTTCCGCCATTTCTTTACACCGAACAGTCCAAGTCATATCAGAAATTGTCTTCTCCTTTCCGAAACTGGTTGCGAGATTGCATATTTAACTTTTGTTTGTTTACTTCTGGTTTGGATTGCGGTCGGACCCCGCAGTGCAACTGGTGACCTCGCGCCTACTTTCACGTGGTTCCCCTATTCCCATGTCCTAACTTTAACCCCAACGCCAATTCTGGCGCTTACTCCAACCCTAACCCACCTTAACCAGATCCTAACATTAACAGTGATCCTAATCTTAACCTCCTAACACTAATCCCAATAAGAACCCTGATCCCACTTTTAATCCACGTGGAAATGAGGGCAAGGCCATCTGTAATATGGTAGGTTCGCATTCCCGCACCAAACCGGGTGTGCCGTGAAATGCGATGTGGGACCCATCCGCCATGTTTGCCCAAAAGGAATGTTACTTTTATAATAATGAGACTCGATGTCTAAGGTGCGTTGCTTTATCACAGGAGCGTACCCTCTGTGGTCTTGTCGTAGGAAATAGTCTTGCTACTTAAGACGGGGAAGAAAAGTCAAGTACCGAGAAGATAACTCTGTAACTCTGATATCTCCAATTGGCTGCCGAGCGAATTATCCTAAGCAAAACGAACACCTGATCTGGAGACGTAGCCAATCAGCTCCGCATCGAACCCCTGCGACTGGTTGTGTCAACTTCGATGAGACGCCAAACATGGGGTCATGCAGAGCATAATGATAGAGGTGGCACTCCACCTAGCGGCTTATCTATTCCCAACGTGATTCCTACGTATAAATCAGCTCGTATGCTCTCGTGCACTCGACGCCCCCGTGCCCCATGGCCTGCGTATTTGTTGGGATATTCAGCACACGGAACGCGGTTTTAGCTTGTCCTGGATTTCTTTTCGGTGATACTTAGATGGTGGTCGATGTGCTCGCCTGCAATGAGGGAGCAACAGGCGTGTGGAACGCCAGCCACTACCACTTTTCTAGCCCCTACAGTGCCAGCTGAGCATGAGAGGAGGGATTGAGGTGGGCACAGCGCAAGCCACCATCGCACTTTCAGAATGCTAACGATTCTCATCGATAAATATGGGCGAGCATATGTCAGTCGCCATCCTTACTGGTGCTAGCATTCTTGATAAATGGACGGACTGCTCAGTCTTGGTGAAGGCATGACGTTTTGCAGGTTGGTTGAGAGTTAAAGGGACAACTGATAGATTTTGCCTTCACTAATCAGACACCTATGGTAAGCCGCCTGGATTTTTTGGCGTTTTGCCTCAAGTTCTTTGCATTGCCCGTCCACACACAGTTTCTATTTTACAAGGATTATGACCATTAAAAAAACCTATAAAGTAGACTTACAGGAAGTAAAGTGCAAAGGTTATCAAAGTAAGGCGTATTCTGCCCAATCACTGTTTTCTTTTTATTATTTTCATCGTGACTAAACCATTACCTCAGAACCTACTTAGTTAGGTCGACACCTCCTACTTCCAAGTCTTGTGCTTATAGGCTTATTCTCCTTAAGATGCTTGTTTGATCCAAAATGTGAGAACTTTTGTACAGGTATGCCCTGGGCCACACGTTGTTGGTTGATGCAACCTGATCTTTCTGACGGTCTTATATAAGCTGCTGAACTTAAATGCCTATTTTTGTACTATTTTCTGTTACCGGATTAGTTCTTAGATTCCTGTTCATCCCTCAAAAACACATTTCCCATTCAGTGAATTAAATCCGTAAGTCGCTGATAGGACTGAAGTGGATTTAAATACCCAGAGAAATTAAGCAAAATGCGGCAGGATTTTCTTCTGGTTTCTGGTGACTCCGGATGAAGGAACGAGTTGTTGTAGAAATGTTTTGCTGGAGCAAAAACAAAAGGCCTTATCTGACAGATTTTTGGTTTTCAGGGAAGAATTACATCATGTCCACCCCTTAATTATACAAAATATGCGGCACCACTTTGACAACACTTTGCCGACTACCAGCGGATGAAAATTACTGTTCTGTTCGAAACGGAGCGTGTCGCCAGGTCTGATGTTATATGTGCATGGGATAATCGTCTGTGGATTGTGCATCTATGCGTACTGTTACGTCAGTGGGCGACGCAGAGAGACCCAGTTTCCTATCCAAAGTCGCAATTAATTCAATCTCTTTCATCTTCTTTCCCTGGCGGGACCTACCTAACAGACAACATAAGTTTGTGTAAATATTTATTGAAGATGGGTATGTCTTTTTTTCCCCGCCCCCGGCAACAGTCTCCAGAGCACGTGCACATCCACACACGCCAGCATGCCCGTACACCCACTTTACAGCAGGGCTCAGGGGACTCCCACGACTAATTTTCTCACCTTCAGTTGCTCGCCAACCGTGGGGGGCCCACGACTGCCATAAATTCCACTCCTCCAACGGTCCCCCCCCCCTTCCACCGCCACCTGCAATGCATGAAATCGGTACAAATTGGCACGTGTGTCTGTGGCTGTGGGTGAACTGGTGCTGGCGCGCGTCCAATATAGCGGCTCCACCGTCACCTCGTTTCAGAC